TAATATTTTTAATTGGGATCGCACCGTTAATCGTATCATACTGAGTATTCCCAAGTACTCATCATTTTCCCTACTCCTCACAGATTATATCGGATCGTTGGTTGGTGGGCAATGAGGTGCAGTCGTGGTGCCAGAGGTTTGGAATTTATAATATAAAGCAATGAGGTGCAGTCGTGGATTTGAAAACATTATTATACACGTGTAGATAATTTCAAATATTTAGTTCACCTTTTCATTTTACTTTTCTGTTAAATCTTTGAGAGTTGCCTTATATGTGATTTAAACGTTTTCATATAGTAATTAAAAGGTGTGATGGGTTAGTAATTCATTTATGGTACTGCTCATTAAATGTTTTATCAAATTAAAAGAAATGGTAATTGATGCCTCGAATCATGTCCCTAATTCTTAGATTGTTTTTGAATATTATTTGATCTATCCACATATACATGAATAAATTGCAGTATTAGTTTATGATTTTTTTTTATATATAGTTTTCGTAGCAATCAAATCCTTTAAAAATTTGGAGCGTTATGTGAACAGTGAAAAAAAAAAGAAAATTATATTAAATGGGTGGTTGTTTTAAAGGGAATATGCCAAATGATTATTTCTATATATGATTATTTATGTGAAAATTTGATTAATCTAAATCATTAGGTGAAATAAGTGCTCATTTGTTTAATCTAATTATGCATGATATTTGTTATATACGCGCGCGCGCACACACACACACACACACACTAATACATACAATGACGATGTTATATAAACATTGGACATTCGTTTTCTAATGTTACGTGTAATAAAATGTTTATTTGTTGAGTCATTTCCATGTTTAATGTTCGTTAAAAAATTATATTCTCTTAAGATTTGTAATTTAAAAATAATGAAAATTTAAAGTTATTAAATATGTGAAGGATTGTTGGCACTCGACAACCACCTATCGACCCCCTACGACGACTCTAAGGTATGTAAAGGGGTAAGAAGAAGAATTTATTCAAATTTTTTTTGCATAACTTAAATCTTTTGAAATGCCTACGTTTAAATTCATAAGATATGCAGTTTATTTTCTGTCTCAATTTATGATATATATTACGATCATATAGGTTAAACATGTTAGACTTAGTACTAGTATGTGATCGTGACCTTATATTAATTTTTTTAG